TCTGGTTCTTGTATGGCTAGAACTTGCCTTGAGTCTATTTTGAAATAAATCGATTGGAGTCGTGAATTGTGAAATGGAATGAGTTTCTTTGCCTTCAGGCTTTTTTGTTTTTGATTGTGAAAATGGATTAAAAATTTATGCCATAAAACTTTAATTTATTTTTATTTTTTTATTATTTTCTTAATCTAATTCTCGAGAAGCATGTAGCAAAGAGATGCTATAGTTGTCCGTCATGCCAACACATGGATTCTTAAGAATAATGTTATAATATCACTTGTAAGTTGTCTCACTTGATTGTATAGAGCAAATGGTTTCAGATGATAAAGTCTAGTGGTATGCTCCTCTTATCACCATTTGATTTTGGGATAGTACTTCACTTAGATGAACATTGGCTTGTCCTCTTACTTTCAACCTATCAATGCAACAATTCAGTTATTTTTCAAAATAAAATTTTACTTAAATTTATTTATATATATGTGTGAGTTCCTTTCAAAATAAAATTTTACTTAAAATAAACTTATTTATATATATGTTCAACCTATCAATGCAACAATTCAGTTATTTTTCAAAATAAAATTTTACTTAAATTTATTTATATATATGTGCGAGTTCCTTTCAAAATAAAATTTTACTTAAAATAAACTTATTTATATATATGTTCGTGTTGGCTGCAGTTGTAGTAAGAACTAGGTTGAGACCACTTTCAGGTTGTAAGCACTGAAAAAACAAGAACAAGACTAACACACACATGGAAGACAAAATAAGACTAACATACACACATGGAATACAAAATAAAACTTTTAAATGTAACATTCTTTTTGGTAATTTGCTACATATTATGGGTGCTTTTTACAATTCACTGTGGTCAGAGATCAGATATATTATGGGGCAAAGATTCATCTGTGTCAAAGATTTTATTTTCCACAATTATAGCCAAGAACATGAACATCCCCGGACCACATTTACAGCCATTGTCTGAAAAACATTGCACTATGACATCTTATTTCTTTCTATCTGTGTCCCATAATAAACAAAAATCAACAAGAATACAAACCTAGAAAAAACAAAAATAACAAAGATTATGAGATTTATCCTTCCAATAAACCTAAAACAGCTGAGACAATGTGCAAAGATCCAGTGACCACAATCATCCCATGTTGATTTCCAGTTTTTGCAGCAAGAATTTTATTTCCAAATCTAAGTGAACCCATCAATGAGTCCTCAACAAATAAAATGGGCCAGTTTCCGTTTTTCTGTGCACATCGACTGTTCTGGGCTTCAGCAGGTTCATGCTTTGAAGTTTGGCAGTCGATAAAATCAATACCCGTCTCTTTGCATTCTTGTACACACAAATCTTTCAACAGAGTCGATGAAGTTGTGCGCGACCTGTCTCCAGCAATATCAACTTCCGTAAAACATAAGGCCTCCAAGCATCCAGCTGTAATATGTCACAAATTCTTTTTATGCTTAAATAGAACGATACAAAGCAAAATTGATTAATCTAACATCAATGGAAGGAGTAACTCCACAAATCACCCCTCAGATTTACCTTTGACTACAAAAAAAGATATTTTAAAGAAAAATTACAAATTCCCCCTCGATATTATAAGCTTCTACTTTGTAGAGAGATTGGAGAACATAGATAAATCCAAATTTTTCGGAGGAAGTTTATATTACTTTTTCGTAAAGGTAAATCTGAAGGGTGGTTTTGTAACTCTATGCATCTGTAAGAGGAAAAAGGAACCCAGAGGTTTGACTATTTTTAACTTTAAAAAGAAAAAAGAGATCAAGAATTATCGAAAAAATATAAAACTTACCTAAATGTTTTAAAGGAAATAAGAAACTTCAAGGGGTTATTTGTAATTTCCATAACCTATGACGGTGTTCTGTAATATGGGGAATTTTCGAGGACTTGTTCAACTTATTTTCAACTTCCCTAGTTAACAGAGCAATAAAGGCTCATAGCAGATAACCTGAAAGTATCTCTCTGGCAAAGCCTAAATGATCTTTGTCATTCGCCATAGCAACCACAAGAACCAATCTCAAATCTGGAAAGCCCGTCTTAATCATGTTCATCAAAGCCTGTGCAGATTCCTTCGTATGGGCTGAAGTATGAGAAATTCAATGAGCATTAACATAACTGTATAAAACATGGTAAAAAAAAGTATAATTGACTTTCTTAAATCTTCAGCTTTGTGATGAGCGGTATTTTGCATCTAGGGGAAATGGAGCAATAAATATATGTCAGTGAGCCCTTTCGGTTCTTCAAATTACAGTAAATTAGTAAAGATATTAAAAAAACTGTCTTAAATTTACAAATGCTCGATTGATATTTGTGTCGATTTCACAATGCTCATTTAATTTTGTGTCTATTTCGCAAATTGCACCCGCTGTATGAAGAAATTTATTAAACAAAATGCAAACCTTGTAGGTTGTTCAATGGCTTGTAATACCTTAAGAAGGTATTTATACCTTGAAATGTAAGTGAGTTCTTTTGTACTTGGATCAAATTTCACGGGTCGAATTAGTAACTAACTGAAATATGATGGATTTAATTTAGATAAAGTTATGATTCTGAAAACTCTAGTAGAATACATGATTTCCTTCATATATTCATTTGCTTCATTTGATAAGCCCCATGCCATAGTATGAAAATTACAAATCTTAATGATTCATAAAAATTTGAATCAGACCTCCATCCAGCAGTATATTTGCCCCAGGAAGTCCGAGCATCTTAGCTTCCTTATATGTTAAAAATTGGCTTCTACCAAGCAAAAATGCGGATTCTAAACCAGCACGAACGGATGCATCTGACAAATTCCAACCTGACATACATCAAGTTATGATTCAAACAAGTCAAATCCTGAATTGAAAGGNAAATGAAAAAAAAAAAAAGAAAAAAAAAAAGAACAATTAAGTATAAATGACCGATGCATTCAAACTGGAGATTTGTTTAGAAGTTAAAACCCACTTATTCACCTCATTACAGTGAATATCATCATGTTAAGGAAATGTCATTCAGAAACATCAGATTTCACCAAAGAAATAACTACATAAATAATAAATATGAAATTGGTGTACTACAAAAACCACCCGGAGATATGGACATTTGCAAAAAGAAACCCAGGGAAATTTTGAAATTACAGAAACCTGTTAGAGGTTTGTTCCTCTCAACTATTTTTCCCTTTCATAAGCGAGCAAAACGTGTCAATATCCACACATAGGTTCATCAAAAGATTTACCACAATTGCCTCCACCTAAATTTGAGACAAAAACACATTTTATGAGGTTTGGTGTTGTCCTGAGAATTCTCCGGGTTCTTTCCAAAGCTTAGGGGTAGTGTAATCATCCTCAAAAAGCTTGTGCAGATACATTAAGTTCTTAAACTATTCCTTTTGACTATCCAAAGTACTTTGGCATGAATGATTTACAAATAAAATTAAAGGTTCATGCACCGAAAATTTATATAACAAAAATCAATAATAACAAGATTCTTCTTCCCACCTAGATCACGAAGGCAAAGTGCTGCACAAGTAGCGGTGGCAGCATTCTGAAGCTGGTGAGACCCGAGCATGCGTAGTCGAACATCAAACAATTCAATGAACTGGACACAAGGAATATCATGTTAAAATTGCAGATGAAAAGAAATAATATAAATAAGTGGCACGTGAAGCCAATTTTGGGCATGGAACCAAATGGTATAACAGAACTGCACACCATATGGATGTTCCTCTCAATAACGAGCAAGATGTCGCATAACTGACGAGGCATCTCATGTGCTCTACAAAAGCCTTTGATGACACTTCTATTGCCGGGATCAGATGTTGATACTACTGGTGCACTCATGGACAAAGCCTTATCACGGATTATGCGCTCAATGTGAGGTAGGAATGGGCCACCTAAAATCAGCTGTACAAAGAGGAGAGAAAGAATGAGTGATGTTCAGACAACGGGACAGAAATAACCATATATGATTCGGAGCAATTGCAAAAAAACATCTAAGATTCAAATTT